TCCTTTCTGGTTCTTTTTCTTTGCTTTCTTTCTTTCTTTTTTTTTAATTGAAGTATATCCTTCCTGGCTCTTCAGAGAAAACAATTAAATCATGGTATTTTAGGTACTACTATCTTTAATACTACTGTGCCTTTTTTTCTCCTCTCCACAACATGGAGTGAGGAGAAGACACATTTTAGAGGTTTGTGAGTCTTTTTAAACCAAGAAAGAAATGTGGTGGGTGTTTTCTACAATCTGTGTCAAAACCCTAGACCCCTATTCCTTTTACTTATTGGTGTTTACTTTGTAATAGCTACTATTATCAGATGTCACCACCTTTAACTTTTGAAAGTCAAAGGGGTCTGTGTAGGTATGAGGTTTATGCCAGTTTTCCTCAATCTAAGGAACCAGATTTTTAGGGTTTATAATTAAGTTGATATTCTCCCACTGTGTCCCATAAGGAATAAGAAGTTTGAGTTACACTCGTGACTCCAGATTCCAGGTACCTCCTCTGGCATCTGCTCGTCAGTGAGCCTTCACTGACCTGCCCCAGCTGAGCTAGTGACCCCTCTGCTGGGCACTAGTACGGTTCGAATGTTGTTAACTGACTAATACAGCTGTCTCCCCTGCTGGTCTCAGAGTCCTTGAGGGCAGTGTTCTGACCTTGTATCTTCTTATAGTTCCAGAACCTAGTCTGTGTAAGTCACTGTGACCTCCTACAACTATGACTTTGTTGTAGGAAGGAATGGAGATGGGGAGAGAGAGAAAAGTGAGAAGGAGAGGAGGACGTTAAGAGAACTTTTTTTTTGGCTGTATGGTGATGATTGCCTTGGTTTATTTATACTTTTTTTATAATTTTATATTTTACATTTTTAAAATAAATTTATTTATTTATTTATTTTTGGCTGCCTTGGGTCTTCGTTGCGGTGCGTGGGCTTCTCATTGTGGTGGCTTCTCTCGTTGCGGAGCACGGGCTCTAGGCACGCGGGCTTCCATAATTGTGGTACGCGGTCTCAGTAGCTGTGGCACACCAGCTTAGTTGCTCCGCGGCATGTGGGATCTTCCCGGACCAGGGCTCGAACCCGTGTCCCCTGCAATGGCAGGCGGATTCTTAACCACTGCGCCACCTGGGAAGTTCTGCCTTGGTTTATTAACAATTCTATATAGACGTCACAAAGGTAACAAAGTCACTAACATTAAACAAACAGTTTTTGAACACAGTGTGTCAGACGTGTCTGAGCCAGGAGGAAAAAAAAGAATAATGTAGAAGTTCTACTCTCTTGGAAGTCAAGTATACAGAAATAGCTGTAATATCCTGTGCCGAGTGTGGGAGTGAGTATGTGGACAGCATGCAGAAACAAAGGCCAAGGGTCTCCCTCCCCAGCCAGGTGAGACCGGAGACCTCCCAGGAGAGAAGACTTTTCAGAAGAGGCTGCGAAGAGACTGGAAGATTTGATCAGGACCAGATCCAAGCCCAGCAGTCAGCTTCTCTCCCTCGCCCGGGGCTTGTCTACCTTTTTAAAGCTCATGCTTCTATATTGCTTTCCTACTAAGTAGCCAAGAAGAGTCTATCAGACTTTACTTTCAGCAATACACGTTATAGAAGAAAAGGTGTATTTAATCTGCCTTTCAAATCCCCTCCTCTTCACATTCTGATGAACTCTGAATGGGACAAGGGGTCTTCCCTTACGAATCTCTGTAGGGCACTACTGGAGTGGTGCAGGGTGCATGCCGGTGTTTTATCATCACCACCTCAGGCGCCTGGTCAGGAGAGAGGCTGGGAAGAGTACCATTTGTGTATTCATTATGCTGTTTAATTTAATATGGTACCAGAAGAAAGGACAAATAATCACATCGTGTCCTTGCATTGAAGTCTCACCCATCTGTTGTGTATCTGTCTGTTTGTAAGAGTGGCTGGTGGAAGCAGGGAAGGACTGATTACCTCTTAGAGAAAGGGTTGGGGTGCGGGTGGGAATGAAGCCATGGTTTATTTTCTCTTTTACTTGCTTCTATATTTCTGAAAATAAAGGAGCACACCTTGAGAGATCACAAGAGAGACTGTCTAACCTCAGAGTCTAATTTCTTGCATCCTCTGGACTACGTAACCAGAGTTGTGACTCTCTAGTCTGGTGTCCTTTCTTTCCTGGCTTCCGCTCACGTGGGTCATTGGGCAGTGTCCAGGGATTGGGTAGGCTTGGGAAGCCACAGAAGGATTGACCCACTGAGATGCTCCCTCATCTGTGGCCACTGCTTGCCAGAAGCAGCTCCAGGCACTAGTCCCCAAAACACCCTGGTGCAGGCCCGTGCAGCTTGCAGATGAGTCATGCGCACTTCACGTGCTCTAATGTGAAGTATATGCTTCTGGGGTTTCAGTCCCTGAGATGTCAAGTATGATCAGTATGACAAACCCTCGCCTGCCAAATTTTCTCCTGCAAAGAATATTCACCTTAATTTCTACATAGTGAGCATAACCTCAGCTCACACTTGAATTTATCTTTCGTTTGGGGATTACATTAAGCAGTGGGTTAGTGTTCAGTATTATCTTTCACGTGGAATATTTTTCTGCAGTTTTCTTTTCTCCGTGAACTTGATGGAAAATCAATTAACTTGATTGGAGGCACACACTGCTGTATTCAATTCAGCCTCAGTCAGGTGATACTCACCACCTAGCATATTTCATTTAGGAATTTAGTACTGAAACTCAGAAAAATTACAGTGAGGAATACTGGCACTGCCCACGGGTAGATTTTTGCTCCAATTACATGGAAAGAGAATGGTGAAACTAGATTATCAGGTAAGAGAACATTTTTAGAAATTCGAGTTGAACAGAAGAATCTTTAAGTGTGCTCTGTGGAAAAAAGTTGAATTCATTGTGATTATAAACTTTTTGGATAAGAGCATGACTAAATGAAATTTTTAACAGAAAAGACTCTTATGTCAGAGCTATGGAAACCTACAACAATATTCTATAATACGTTAAATTTTATAATTTAAGAATATCATAGTAGTTCTGAGCCTCAGGATGTGGGAGGGAAGTTAAACAATGGAAATCATGTTCCAGGGCTTTATATTTTTATACATACTTGACAGACATCTATAGTAAGTGCTTTTTTCATCAGATGACTTATAAGGAGGTGAAATGCTAGGTAATATCCTCAGGGAAGGAACAATGGGCAAATTTGTGAATATCATTCCTGTTTTGCTTTCGATTATCAAGGACAACTGCTGAAGATATAATAAGTTCTGCTGTGAGTAAAGCCCTTAGAAAAATGAAAATATGGGTGGATTTTAGAAAGCAAACATTTTATCTAAAGGGGCTTCATTCTGTGAATCCTCATTTGCTAACATTTGGTAGTTTGACCTTGGAAAACATGTAAAATAGGAAGCACAATTTTATGATTGCTGTTCCCTCAGTTGTGACATTGGCCTTGATGTTGATTTTAGCCTTGGCAAGTCAATGCTGAGTATTCTGTATGTCGAGTGTACACTATTTGTGACCACAGCTTGAAATGTGACAGACACTTTTAAAGTTGTGGGAACAGTACTTGAATGTACCAGGGTGTAGAAGGACACATGTCCAAGTATATTGTGATATGGGATGTGATAAAGTAGTTTAGCTAAGTAAGATTGTTTTATTTATTACCTAGCTTGTACAGTAAAATACATTTGCAAAATCAATAATACTCATATAAGGACAAAATTTTAATTTGTCCATTTAACAAGTGATATACATAGTTTAATTTGCTTTAACTTAGTTTTGTACACCCCCCCCCCAAAAAAAGCATTATTTATCAACACATAGATTTTTTGTTGTTGTTGTGGTACGAGGGCCTCTCACTGTTGTGGCCTCTCCCGTTGCGGAGCACAGGCTCCAGACACGCAGGCTCAGTGGCCATGGCTCACGGGCCCAGCCGCTCCGCAGCATGTGGGATCTTCCCGGACCGGGACACGAACCTGTGTCCCCTGCATCGGCAGGCGGACTCCCAGCCACTGCGCCACCAGGGAAGCCCAACACATAGATTTTTAAATGAATGTTTTTGGTTTGGCCTTAGATAGCATCATGGTTTCATGACCTGATGTTTACCATTATTATCATTTACTTTTTAAAAACCAGTCAGATTAGATTTTATAATTTTCATGTTCTGTTTCTAAGTGACAAGGTAAGAGAGAAGGTTTGGAGTGACTGGGTGCAAGCACATTTCAAATAACACACTGCAGGGACTTCCCTGCTGGTGCAATGGTTAAGAAACTGCCTGCCAATGCAGGGGACACGGGTCCGAGCCCTGGTCCGGGAAGATCCCACATGCTGCAGAGCAACTAAGCCCGTGTGCCACAACTACTGAGCCTGTGCTCTAGAGCCCACGAGCCACAACTACTGAAGCCGCACTCCACAACAAGAGAAGCCACCACAAGAGAAGCCGGTGCATCGCAATGAAGAGTAGCCCCCGCTCGCTGCAACTAGAGAAAGCCTGCATGCAGCAATGAAGACCCAACACAGGCAAAAATAAATTTATAAGAATAAATAAATAAATAAAATCATGAAGAGAAGTAAATCTAACACATGGCACATATTCTTTAAAATTTCTCTTTCTCTTGCCTGCTCCATCCCTATTATTTACTTATTTATGGCCACGTTGGGTCTTCATTGCTGCACGCAGGCTTCCTCTAGTTGCGGTGAACGGGGGCTACTCTTCGTTGTGGTGCACGGGCTTCTCATTGCGGTGGCTTCTCTTGTTGCGGAGCATGGGCTCTAGGGCACATGGGCTTCAGTAGTTGTGGCTCGTAGGCTCTGGAGCGCAGGCTCAGTAGTTGTGGCTCACGGGCTTAGTTGCTCCACGGCATGTGGGATCTTCCTGGACCAGGGCTCCAACCCGTGTCACCTGCACTGGCAGGTGGATTCTCAACCACTGCGCCACCAGGGAAGTCCCAAGGATCCTACATTTTATTTTGAAAATTTTTGTTCTCTTGCCTGTGAAGTTTCTTAGGTGACTGGTAATCCTGTCTCCCCCTTGTTTTTACAGGTGATCTGCAACTCTTTCACCATCTGTAATGCAGAGATGCAGGAAGTTGGTGTTGGGCTGTATCCTAGGTATGGTGAATGGCATTTCATTTCCTGGAAGAAGCAACTTTAATTCCCACCCACCTCCCCAACCTTTTAAAAGTAGTTAGAAAGGCTGTTACAAGCAGCTGCTTCAAGAGCCGCGCTTGAAACTTAATGATAAGTTACAAGAAAATGGAAAATGTGAAGTTAAAAAAAAATAACAGAACGTTTTATATCCCCACATTATATGCTATGGTATTAACAAAGAGGTATACCACAGACCTAAATCCTTGTTCTCAGGAACTTTGGGGTAAAAAGTTGGGGATTGTGGGTGCCAATAAACCATCAGGCTGAGATTTTGTTATTCCCCCACCCTTCTGGGCCGATGCACATGATCGTTTCACCAGACCTGCTGTGCTGCACCAGTCGGGTTCATTTGGTCTTTCCGCTTAGCATACCCTGAGCCCCGTTGCTCCAGGAGGCGAGAACACTTTCAGGCTCTGGCCTTCTGAAGCCTTCTCTCCAGCTATCTCTGAGGTGATCTGAATCACTGAGCTACTAGACTATCCTTCCACAAGCACTCCAGGGTCACTCCTAGTTTCATTTTGTTTTCATGCTATTAGGGTCCTAATACAAATAGGGTCTTTCTTATAATTAACTGTGAATCTGAGAATTCAGCTTCTTATTTCTCACGAGTTCAACTACATGTCTATGCTATGGGTCCTCAAAAAGCAGTAACATAGACTAGGTCAGAGCATGGGCTCTGAGTTCAGACCACCCGGTTCAAATTCAGTCACCATTTACTAGTTATGTGTCCTTGGGGAAGTCATTTAACTTCCATGTGTCCGTTTCCTCATCAGTAAATGACCCTCAGAATGTTATGGTGATGGTTAAATTTGATAAACATGCTCAAGTGCTAAGAAAGTGGTTTCTACATAGTGATGCTTACTTACAGTTATTTCTAACTGTAAATGTGGTGGTAGCTTAAATCCATTCCCTCCCCAGATGGAAAAAAACAAATGTGCCTCCAAGGTAATAAAATGACTTGGCCACGGCCCAGAATGCATGAGGGTCTTGTTAGCGAGATAAACCTAGCATTGTGTTGCAGAGGAAGTACTCCTGATTATTCTTCAGTGTAGCTGTGCATGTTCTCGTGAAGGTGGCAGTTCCTCCAGAGGAGCCTGACAAATTCGGTCCTGTGTGGGAAGCTCAGTGGTGTCTTGGCAGAGGTTTTAACTGCCGTATCCCATTATCTCAGAAATTATTCCTTTGCAGGTCAGTTTTTTTCCCCATCTTCATGTTGGGTTGCCTTACTGGCTGGTATAATGAGACAACTACCTCCCCTCACCCATCCCCCAGAAGGACTCAGAATGTTTTTATTAACAAACTTCCCTAATGAGCTCCGTCTTGGGGAGCGTTTCACTTCACAGGAAGTGGGCTAGAGGCCCCAGAGCACTCAATCCCTGGTACACTGTCAACCTTACCTGTCCCCCTGCCCCTAAGCTAAAGTGTTTTTTGCCCACAATAGTCGTTATGTTTAGATATTTGACTCCATCTACTGGGCCACGATGGTCTCTCCTTTTTTTTCTTTCCTGCAGTATGTCTTTGCTCAATCACAGCTGTGACCCCAACTGTTCAATTGTGTTCAACGGACCCCACCTCTTGCTGCGTGCAGTCCGAGACATTGAGGCCGGAGAGGAGGTAAGGAACCCGTGTTTCCCACTGGCTGGCCTCCTTTTCCATCAAAGACCCTCTCAGCAAGGCCCTGCCCTAAAGCCAGTTGTGCCTGAGGGGCAGCTTTTCATTGTCCTTCGGCCAAGGAGAAGATGTATAACACCTCTACCCAGCGACTCATTTATCCATCACCTCTCCCAGATTATAGATGAGCTAACTTTTTTTTTTAATCACCATTTTTCTGGATGATGACAGTTCCTGTTATATGTGTGGGGGGGAGAGGTGTGTGTGTGACAGAATGTGTGTTTTGTGCGTATGACAGTTCAGCGGCCCCTCGCATCTCTGCAAGCGGTCATCTTTCCATAGGCAGGGAGGGCAGCCCAGCTTGTGAATGAGATCCCAAGGGCTTACTGATTCCCAAGGTCCCTAATTGCATTTCAGAGGTGACTCGTTTTTACCTTCGTGTTAAGAAAGCAAACGAGTTTTACTCTTTCAGGTTGTCGTTGGACCTTTACAAACCTATCAACGTCAGCATCTCTGGGTAACTGTCCACGCAAAGATGTGGAGGGAATAGGGGACAGGAAGTGTGACCTCCAGCAATGAACTGGCCTTGACCCTTCCAGTTTTACAGGCTGCCCAGCCAGCCTCTTTTGAGAGGAGCCTTCTCAGAAGTCCGAGGTCTCACAAGACAGCTGCAGGTGGGCTGCTCCAGGGCTGCTGAACCTGATCCTGACAGGGTTTACACAGTTACTACCCAGAATTCCGGGTTATAGATATTTACGCTTTTTAGAACCCAGTTTCCTTCTACCTTCCAATTTGCTAAAGTGGATATTTATTGCAAGGAAAACAGACCATCATAAGCTTTTATTGCACTTATGCAGCACTCAGCCAATAAAACCTAAACTCAGAGGTACCATATTTTATGTAGACAGGGATTTGGCTTTGATAAGACTCGGTCCAAACTGATTTTCAACTGAATAAGCTGTCTCTTATACAGCCACTTACTGAATTTCCAATTTTTAGGATCAGTGTAGTTGGTACACCGGGATACCTGTCAACAGTATATAGAATTTAGATTTTTTTCCTTGGGTCCTATGTGACCTCAAGGCAGGTAAGAAGGGGGGACCACTATCCAATTTCAACATTTTGGGAGCTGAGGGATGGCTGCCTTTGATAATGATGGTGGTGGTGGTGTTCTACTAAATTTAAAAAGAAAAGGTAACCTGACAAGCAAACAGAAAAAACTATTGGAAACAGTTGGACTTTTCAGAAACAACAAAGAAATCTCTTTATATCTTTTTTCCTAGGCTTGGCTGCCAGTTCTTCTCCCGGGTTGTTTTTCATTTAGTTGAAAAAACACTGTCTTTTGGTGCTTATTTCATGTCCTTCTCTTTCCATCTCTGGAGCAGCAAAGAGAGGATTCTCCCTATAAGTCCTTTTTATACCAGCTTGTTCAGAAGATAAATTTCTTTCCCTACCATTATACATGTCTTGGTGCATGACGTTTTCTCTGCGCAGTTGCTCCCCTTCTGTCTGCCCACCATTTCTACCTGTCTTAACATTATACACCTCTCAAGGCCCTCTCAAACATCATGTCTTCTATAAAGCTTTTCCTGATTTCTCAAATTAAAAGACCTTTTCTTCTGAGCTCTCTCTTACAGCGGTTATTAATATTTCTTTGGCACTTATTCCAGCTCTCTGGGTGACTTCTCCACTCAGCTGTGAGCTTCATGAAGACAGGCAGTTGTGTCTTACTGTGTCTCCTTTAGCACCCAGCACTTGGCCTTACAGCCCAGGAGGCATTCAGTAACGCTTCATTGGGTTGACTTTCTGTTAAATCGAGCATACATGGTGTAAAGACCAGCAGTGTTTCTCACTGAGGGCGCTGTTGGCATCCCGGATGGGACAGCTGTTCGCTGTGTACGACTGTTGCATCAGTGAGGAACTCCCGTGTCTAGTCCCTGCTCACTTCATGCTTGTAGCCACCCCAGTACTGAAAATACATCCTGCACACTTAAAACCGGCCCCCTGTGGTAGAGGTAGTGGAGAGGGAGAAAGGACATTTTGAGGTTAATTAAGAGGGACAATTCCTTTTTACTGTGCTAATATTGGCTTTTGTGAAATTGGATAAAGAAGGAAATGTAGAAGTTTTGTATTATAGCATCAATTTTGCATTTTGGCTTTATTGCTCATTAGGGCGCCCCCAGTTTTAAAATGTGCTATTTGGGATGGAAGTACCAGAATGTAGGCTGCACGAGAGAAGACTGGATAGCGCCTGGAATATAGAAACTCCTCAGTCTGTATTTGTTGAGTGAATGAATGAGGTTTGCTGGACACAAAACCAGAGGTGGAATAGAACCTTAGACCCATTTTGAAGCTACCACCAATCCTCAGGTGTGTCCCATGGGCCCCGGAAAGAAAGTAACACGAAAGCCAACGCATTGCCAGTTTGAGATGAGAACATTTCACACCTCAGACAAGGAGACCTGGAAAATTACACAGGGTTCCACCATAACAGAAATTTCTTACCTTTGTTTCTCCCCACATAAAGTCATCCTTTGGACTTTTTGGACCACTTCCCCTCATACCAGCACCACTTATAACACTTCGCTGTTTAAGGATTTTCACTGTGATGTTGAGTTCTGGGACTGTTTTGTGTCTAGCAGGGGGTAAGGGCTGTTTTTTGTTCTGTTTGTTTGTTTGTGGGGGGTTTTGTCTCTCATTCAGTACCTCCTACCAAGAGATGTGTGTATTATAGTTTAAGTCGTGGCTCACACGCTGGGTTGCCGATGGCTGTCTCTTCTGGGTTTTGTTAAGCTACGAAACACATGTTATCAGCTGACAGTCTTCAGGAACGTGGATCATGGAAGAAAGCTGGACAGTCCAGGCTTCCTGGTTTTGCCTGGTTAGAAGAGCTTGTAGCTGTTACAAATAATGCCACTGGGCGCCGGTGTTTTCTGGAGCCGCAGCAATTGAGAGAAATGTGATTTGCACAGATTGAGCACATATCAGTATCCCCAAGTAGCAGTTTTCATCTAAAATGTTTTGGGGTCGTAACGGTCTTCGTCTTCTCCCAGCCATCTCTGTTTGCTAAGTCATTTAACAAATTCACTGCACGCTTACTGGCATCCTGTACTGGGGTGGGCGTTGGGAATACAAAGATGAGTAAGGCCTTACCTTGCCTTCAGGAATTCAAGGTGTAATCGAGGAAACTGACACAGAACAGAACACAATAATAGAATATGAAAACTAAAATAGTGTAAATGGGCACAGGGCTTTCTAGAGGTTCAGAGCAGGGACACTCGAGTGGTGGTAAGGATCAGGGGTGACGGGAGAGGATAAGGAAGGCTTCCAGAGAAGCGACTCCTAGACTTTTAAAGGATCCAGCGAGTTAAAGTTGGCTAAGACAGGGGCAGGCATTCTAGACAAAGACACAGGGGCGGGGCTTCCCTGGTGGCGCAGTGGTTGAGAGTCCTCCTGCCGATGCAGGGGACACGGGTTCATGCCCCGGTCCGGGAGGATCCCACGCCGTGGAGCGGCTGGGCCCGTGAGCCATGGCCGCTGAGCCTGCGCATCCGGAGCCTGTGCTCCACAGCGGGAGAGGCCACAACAGCGAGAGGCCCACATACCGAAAAAAAAAGACACAGGAGCCAGGGACAGAATGGTGAATTCAAGGAACAGGAAGCTGTTCACATCAATAGACTGACAAATTCAGTTGTGACCAGCGGATGAGGGAATATGCAGGGACCAGACCAAGCAACCCACGGGGGCCTTATTGAGGATCTCAGTTCACCTGAAGGGTCTGTAACAGTGCCTGGTATATAGGAGGCACGCATTAAATATTTGTTGGAAGGGAGGGGGACAGGAAATGGGTCATCACTGAAGAGTTTAAGCAGAGGAACGGCACGATGAGTTTTTCCGTGTGTAGGCAAGATTGGGAGAATGATGCATAATCCAGGCAGGAGGTGACAGTGGCAGCCTGAAGACGGGAGATTCAGGTGGTGGCTTGTGATGGGGGATCTGAAGAATATATCTATAAGCTAGAATTAGCAGAATTTGGAAATTGACTGGCTCTGAGGGTGTGACAAAGAGAAGAGACATGAATAACACTCAGGTTTGACTTTAAAGACAGGGAGGATTTTTCAAAGTCTATTTTCAATTGAGGGCCAGTATTAGAAAAATTTATAACTGTGACAATGTAATTCGAGAAACGAAGACCAAGTCTAATTTTAACTTGATCTTATTATCCACTCCAAAGTACATAATGAGAAGATGGGCTTCAGGGAAAAGGGGTTCACTTTGCCTTGAAATTTTCAAGTAAGCAACAAATTCAATATCCAGCAAATACCTTTCATGATATTACTCTAATGTTGGAATTGATTTACTGCATTTTCCATAAGAGCTGCACTAAAACGGCAAAGCCACGGTCAGTAGCATTAATATTTTAATACAGTTTTGTTCTTTGCCATTAAAACATCCACAGATCAATGGCAAAGTTTCATATATATGTTCCCACTAAATGAGCCCTACATTTAGTGAGCAGATTCTCCATTAAAACTAGTGAGTCAACGAGTCTTTAATAAAGGTTTTTATCTTTGGTTGATAAAATGATTTAGCTGTCATTACTAGTTAGTAATCCGGCTTTTTTTTTTTTTCCCAAAAAAATATGAATAAAAACGTTTTTGCCGTTGAGACCTTCAGCTTTGATACAGTGTATTTTTGCAGACTTCAATGGCGTGAAGGAGGCATGGGAGGAACTGGACATTCTTCATTGGAGGAGGCGTATTTGAGCCAAGCCTGAAGGAGGAGGGAATTCTGAATAAGCTGAGAGTGGAGGAAAGGGCGTTGGCTGGTAAAGGCCAACACCATACACGTTGCATGGCGTGCCTCGTTTCAGCGGGTAGCGTTGTACATAATGGTGACAGATGGTAGGGTGTAGGGAGAGATGCGGAGTCTAGAAAGGCAGACAGAAAATCTTCTGGGGAAGCCTTGTGTATCCTTATCCTATAGGCAGGGAGAAACCATCAGAACTCTTTGCATAGAGAAATGACATGATCAAATATGAGCTTTAGGAAGATCTCTCTTAAAGCAGCCTAGAAGATGCAATGTAGACTGACGGCAGCAGGGGGGCCAGTTAGAAAGCCATTGCACCGTCCAGGTCATGGTTCCAGGCAGTTACAGAACACTGAGGGAGCCGTAGGAATCTCTTTTGGGGGTTAAATGAAATAACTAGTCTCCTGTTGCCCATTCACTGCCTGGCATGATCACTCATGAGTTTTGGCCCTTGTAATAAACTCTTAGGTTTGTCAAGCATATTCCTCTGGTGTGACAGGCCCTGCATTTGTTGGTTTCACACTGGGCCCATTGTAATCACCCGGTAAGTACTACCGATTAATCTGACCCGATAGCTGGGGCTGATGACTGAGAGCCATTGGGCTGGATTGAGAATTAGGGTCCTAGAGTTAACCCAAAAGGGAACACAGAGATCAGTGCATTTTATCTAAATCTCACCTCATATAAGGAAACTGGGCCTCTGAGAGCCTGATAATTCAAGATGAATGTGTATGCTGCCCCAAACTTACTAACAGGCTGTTTCAAAAAGTGTGCTTAGAAATCGGTTATTTGGAATTTAAGAGGAACTTGCCTGATACGGCGGCCCTTTGTACCTCAGAGGCAGCTCTGGCTTCAGATCATGAGGCAAAAGAAAGATTTAGGGAATTAAAAAGTGGCTGTGGTCTCAGCGGCAGGAACCCAGTTGTTACCAGACTATTGCTTAGCGTGGGCTTGAGACAAAAATAAATAAATGTATTGTACAAATAAATAAATAAAAGCCTCACAAGTCAGGGAACTGTCTCCTAAGTTCCAAGATTCCAAATCTGCTTGACCCTAAATTCCATGAAGCAGCTCTAGGATTGATTAGGATTTAAGAGCAATCTGGCCACATAATCTGCCACCCATTTGACTGCCAGGATAAATTTGGCTTCTCTGATTGCCAGTGGTTACAAAATTTATTACCAAAACTTAGTAATATCAAACATATAACAGCTCTTGATATTTTACTGTTTGGTGAATAAAAGATAAGGTGCAAAAGCATATAGAGTTAATGAGCCCAATTCTTTAAAATAAATATATGATACACGTGTACTCAGCACATAACAAAGACTGGAAGGTAATGCATTAACAATTTTACATGTGATTATTTGGGTGGAGAGACCATAAGTTGTATCTTCTCTCTCACTTACGCTTTTTGGTGTGCGATAAAAACGTGTTTTACTTTAATGATTCACAGTCATAGCGATTGGTTAAAGAAAATGATCGCAGCAGCCGTGTGACCCCTCCCTCTCTGGCCTCCGCAGCTCACCATCTGCTACCTGGATATGCTGATGACCAGCAAGGAGCGCCGGAAGCAGCTGAGGGACCAATACTGCTTTGACTGTGACTGTCTGAGATGTCAAACCCAGGACAAGGTATGTTGTGTGGAACCAGCTTGGAACACCTCCTGGGCAATGTCTGCGTGGTTTTTCAGAGAACTCTGCTTTTATTTCATTAATCCAGAAGTAAATGCCCCTCAGTGCATAGCAGGAAACAAAGGTAAATAAAATATGCATATGTTTTATTTCCTGGAACTCTTATCACCCACCAGGCAGTAAGAGGTTTAATCTCAGGTAAGGATCCATGGAGTTTAGAGTCTAGAGGGAATGTAGGTGTAAAGCATGTAATTAAAAGGACACTAAATGGGCTTCCCTGGTGGCGCAGTGAGAGTCCGCCTGCCAATGCAGGGGACATGGGTTCGTGCCCCGGTCCGGGAGGATCCCACATGCCGCGGAGCGACTGGGCCCGTGAGTCATGACCGCTGAGCCTGCGCATCCGGAGCCTGTGCTCCGCAACGGGAGAGGCCACAGCAGTGCGAGGCCTGCATACCGCAAAAAAAAAAAAAAAAAAAAAAAAAGGACACTGAAGGCCAGAGTGCTATTAGAGCCTGCAGCAAGAGGGTTAATTATGTTATGATTGGTAACAGCTATTGCTCAGTAGTGAACATCTCAAGTTTTGTCTAGTTTTTTATTTCTTTCAAATTTCTTCTGTAAGCCTTTCTGCTGCACTACTTTATCAGATGGTGACCACTTATCTAGCAGCTTTTACTCTCTGAGAAATGAAGAAGATCCAAAATAAACGCCATAAAGATAAAGAATAAACTTTTCTCATATGAATCTTATACTTTCCTCACATTGAACCTGTTTACTCTTAGTTTGCACACAATCAGGTTATCTAATGAAATCTTAACTTTTGTAGAGTGTTTTACGTTTGTTGGAATTCTTTTGTAATCATGATCTCGTTTGAACTTAATACTCATAAATTAAGAAACAGAACTCAGAAAGGTTCAGAAATGTGCCTCTGGGAGGGGATGAAGGAAAAGTGACAGCACCAAGTCTTAAACATATTAGCTTTTGATAAAGCTATTGCTCCCTCCCCTGTACCACAACTACCTGTGACTTCTGACACTGACATCGATGGAGAGAGGTAGTTGCTTTCACTGCATGCAAAAGGACCCTGAGCTCATTCCAAAGATGCAGGAGTTAGTGATCATGATTAGTTTTTCATTAAAAAGAACTTTTAGAAAGAAGTGAACTGAACGGGAAAAGTTGGACCCATTGCTAATAGCTCCCCAAGATTCAGTCCACTTTAGTGTTCCCGTTTTGCAGTTCACAAACATTCCAGGCATCATAGTGGATCCCCTGGGATTCCTCCTCAGATTACAACCTGGAATGGCAGGGAGCAAGCTAACTTCCCACCAGCATCCTTGGTTGGGAATGGGAAGGTTTTTGGATTTAGTGCCTCTTACATGCCATCTATATGGCAGACCCTCAATTTTTTTTTTTCTTTGAGTAAGTGATTGTTTTATTAAAGCTGGGGTCATGTTCACTTTTGGCTTATTGTTACAGTTGAAATCTGGGCTAAAATAGTATATTAGGAAAGAGTTTGGCTACAAATAACAGATAACCTGACTAAAACTGGCTTTAGTAGGTGTGATGTGTTTTTCTCAAGAATTCTAGAGAAGCAGTCCAACATGGGAGCAGCTACTCATGGGTCTCATCACAGACCCAGAATCCTCCTGTGTTCCTCCTTAGCTAGCCCTAGCATATGCTTTTGTCTTCATGGTGCCAGGATGACTGCTGCCCACAAGCCCTAGTCAGTGCATCCAAGCTCTAGACCAAAAAAAAAAAAAAAAAAAGAAAAGAAGGGGTAATAAAATGCAAAGAACAAAGGGAAATCCTCCTAGGGATTTCCACTTATATCTTATGGGTCAGAGCTCTGTCACATACTACTGTAGGTGTACAAGAGGCAAGGAAACAGAATTTTAGCTTTTCACTAGAAGAAGACAAGGGAGAAGAAAGCTGTGGATAGCTTTTCGGTAGCTGATCTACAGTGTCTATCATATCCGTTAAGACCGTTTTCTTTATTCCTTTGAGTTCAAAGTTTATTTGAGGTAGGATTGTCCAGAGAAAGAGAACCAACAGGGTGTGTGTGTGTGTGTGTGTGTGTGTATGTGGAGAGAGAGAGAGAGAGAGAGAGAGATTGATTGATTGATTGTAAGGATTTAGCTCATGTGATTGTGGGGACTGAGAAGTCCCAAAATCTGCAGTTGGCAGGCAGGAGACCCAGGATTGCTGATGGTGTAAGTTCCAGTCTGAAAGCTGGCAGGCTGGAGATCCAAGAAAGCCAGTGTTTTGGTTTGAGTCCAAAGACAGGAAGAAACTGTTGTCCCACCTAGTCAGGGAGGAGGAGTTCTCTCTTACTAGTGGTAGGGTCAGCCCTTCTGTTCTTTTCAGGGCTTCAACTGATTGGGTGTGGCCCACCCACATTGGAGAGAGCAATCTGCTTTATTCAGTCAATTTATCCAAATGTTGATCTCATCCAAAAACACTCTCACAGATACACCCAGAATAATGTCTGACCAAATGTCTGGGCACCCTGCAGCCCAGTCAAGTTGACACATACCGTTAGTCATCACAAATATTGTGTTAGAGGTAGGCCAAGCTATATAATCAAAAAAGTACTTGAGGGTGGGAGGAGTGGCAGCATCCCGCTTTGGGAAGGTGTGTGCAGTAGCCCACAGGCACCTGGTGCACACCTGACCAACCATGATGATGCCCAAGAGGAAGGTCAACTCCACAGAGGGGGTGGTGAATGTGGAGCCCAAGAGGAGATCAGCAAGGTTGTCAGCTAAGCCTGCTCCTGAAAAAGTGGGAATGAAGCCAAAAAAGACAGCAGGAAAGGATATACCTTCAGACAAAAAAGTGCACACAAAAGAGAAAAAGGGGAGCAAAGAGAAAACAGGCCGAAGTGGCTAAGCAAGAAACTAAAGAAGATTAACCTGGAGAAAATAGAGAAACTAAAAATCAGGCGAGTCTAACCTCTGATGAAGCAGGAGAAAAAAAGCCAAGTCTGATTAATATCATCTACTATGTCTTATCAGTGGCCCCTGTCTCCCTTCTTGCATGATCCAGAGGAATATTTTTATCAACTATTTTGTGAATGCAAGTTTTTTTAGAGGCTCTAGAAACATTTTTAAGGAGGGAATCCCACATCCTCACATTTTTTAAGTGTAAAGGGTTTTTTTTTAAAGAGGTGAAATCATTTGCTCATTGTTTATTTTTTAGTACGACCAGAAAATAATGGGATATTGAATAAGGAGGCTTTGATTGTCTTGGGTGTCAGCTTAACATTCCATAGATGGGGATTAGTTATTATATCTTATAATACAAAGCATACCAAATGGCAATTTGGAGTCACGTTGTACATTTACTATGTCTTGGACATTTTAAATTACTTCCATTCCCATGTTGTTTTTGGTAGAATTGTTTCCTAAAGAAAACTACCCCTTGACCTTGGCTGTCCCTTTCAGAACTGTGTGCGTTCCATAACATCTTTGGTCTTGGTAGTGCAGTTTTCCTGATAACTTTGGTAATGTATTGCAAAAGATTGAAAATGTGAGTATGTAATGTATACGATATTAAATTGTGAATTAGTGGTATTTATGATGTAACAGCTTAACAGTATTGGAAGATATTGGTACTTGATATCCTATTAAGGGAAATTTGCCTTCAAATTTTAAACTGGAAAGTCACTGGAATAACTGTTTAGAAAAGTATCACAACTACGTGATTTTTCAGATTTTAAGAATTATGTACAAATTGAAATGTCTGTGTACCGATCCTCAAAACCACCAATAAAATCTCAATTATGAAAAAAAAAAGTGCTCAGTTACTCTGCTGGATTCCAGTCCATTCTGTATCTAACAGACTGAGTGATCTTGGGCAGGTCATTCAGCCTCTCTGATTTGCTCCATCATCTGTAAAACAAGGGAATTAGACAAGATGGTCTTAAGGCCCCTTCCAGCTCTATTATCCCATATTTCTGTGAAATGTTTCCTGGTGGAAATGAGTAGGATATCTATTTAGATGAAAATATAAACTTGATTTCAGTTAGTTAATCAGTTGTATTTTTGAGTTTCTATTTATCTGAGAATTTTGTTCTATTCAGTGATATAAACATCCCTTCTGAAATCTCTATACTGTTGCTTTGATTTGCAAAAATACTACAGAGGTTAAATTCAACTTAGCCCATCCCCCAAAGAGCATAAATTAAAAATTAGTTCAAAAATTAAATTTACTTCAGTTCCTAGATTTAAAGTTTTCAAGCTTATTTTTCCGTTTTTCTTGGAACCTAGAAAATTCCTCTCAGCAGGTTTCTGCATCAAGCAATATTTATTACGTGCCACATCTGTATGTTAGGGGACTTGCGTGGTATCATGTTTCAGGAAGGCAAGAGGCCTTTTAATAACAGGTGTAATTTGCATTTATGGAGTTAGTTGTCATTTGTAATCAGCAACAACTTAATTTCTGGAAGAAATAAAACTTACCTTCTAGAGGAGGTTTTGGGATGATTTGGCTTGTGCGGGTCAGAATCCAAGGCAATAGAAGCAGAACAGACCAAATAGAATTGATTGTTTCCATAAGTTTGTGGATGGTACATAGTGTGCTTCCTTGAATGTCACATGCTTTATTGCAAAAAGAAGGTTGTGTTTACTTTCTTTCCTAAGCCTGTCACATATGATCCTTCTTTTAAAACGCGATGTCAGTCAATTTACTCACAGCCCTCTTGCCTCATTCCTAGTTTATTGAAATAGCCCCTAATTGGTCACCTGGCACTCAATTTCTTTCCTTTCATCTCTTTTGCACACTGTTTTTGAGTAAGTTTTCTGAAATAGCACTATTTCCATGCCGTTGTTTGCTCAGAATTTTTTAAATATTCAGCATTATCCCTAGTCTTCAGGATAAACTTCAGACTCTTAGCTTGGCGTTCAGTGTCCTGCAAGTCATGACCCCAAGATCCAGCCTGTATTTGTTTCTTTTTTTCTCTTTTCCTTTTTCCTCTCTTTTGCAACTCGTTTCACCTAAATTGTTTT